TTTTTCAATAACATTTACTAAAGCTTAACGTTGTATAAGGTATTCAAGTGCAGAAAATTCATTACGTAACGTTACTCTATACCATAAAATTTCAAAATGTGCAACGTAACGTTTCAAACGTTAATACTTTTGATGAACACTATCGTAACGAAAGCTAAAATCAAGAAAAATCAAAACGTTGACATCTCTAGTATGTACTCACCTACGCAGTACAACAAAGCTATAGTTTTCCTTACACATGAAACACTAGCGGTAATATCAGCTTTTGTACAATAATGTGTATGTACTCACCTACGCAGTACAACAAAGCTATAGTTTTCCCTACACATGAAACCACTAGCGGTAATATCAGCTATTGACAATAATGTGTATGTACTCACCTACGCAGTACAACAAAGCTATAGTTTTCCCTACACATGAAGCCACTAGCTCGGTAATATCAGCTAATGTACAATAATGTGTATGTACTCACCTACGCAGTACAACAAAGCTATAGTTTTCCCTACACATGAAGCCACTAGCTTGGTAATATCAGCTAATGTACAATAATAAGTATGTACTCACCTACGCAGTACAACAAAGCTATAGTTTTCCCTACACATGAGACCACTAGCTCGGTAATATCCGAACCAAGAATACCAAGATCTGAACCAGTAGTCTAAACAAATAAAAGTAGCTAACCGAAAAAATCTACAGAAATAAATTGTTTTGAAAAAAATCTACAGAAATAAACTATTTGGAAAAAAATCTACAGAAATAAACTATTTTGAAAAAATCTACAGAAATAAACTATTTTGAAAAAATCTACAGAAATAAATTATTTTGAAAAAAATATTGCTCTTATTTTCATAAATTAATGCAGTAGTGATACAACTGTGGAGATAGAGGGTAGGTTGTTTAATTTTATAGGAGTACTCAGGGGGGACTTTCGGGGCTCAGTGCCCCCCTGGATTAGTGAAATCTATGGTTTCCAGGGGTTTTTGTGCCCCAATGAGTGCTGAGCCCCCTAGAAAGGAAGAACTAATTTTAGCACCCCCCTGGACAAATTCCTGAGTACGCTCCTGTTTGATTTTTACTGCAGTGATGTGACTTATTAAAATAGGTAGTTTTAATGTAAGCAATAAGAAAGTTGTCAAAAATACGTCACAGTTGAATAAAATAGATGAATATTATTATACTACAGTTAGAACAAACAAACTTTGGAATAGGATGACGACATTAAAGTAAAACATATGTGTAATTGATATAGTTACAAAACATAAAGTAAAATGTGTCTGTTTACGTTACACAATTAATGTCTCTCATGTTCATTGGACGAATTAAAGTCATAACATGAGTCAAAACCAGTTTTACTATTTTTCTGGTTCTTACTGCAGTAAATTATGTCAAGTATGCAGAGATTTAGCAGGGGAAGGGGGCTCTGAATAAGACAATATTAATGTACCGTATTGTACTCTGTACATACCTGATATTGTTGACTTCTAATGGTTTCTACAGTTGAAATATTCCCTAGATCTTGACGAGGACTGGAGGAATTAAGAACTAGGAAGAGTTCCTTCACTGGCTGGGATAAACCCATTATCTTTGCTCCAGGTCTAAATAAACCTTGATATTATGTTCACTCAATATCTAAATAAACCTAGATAAACTATTTACTCCAGGTCTAAATAAACCAAGGTATAATATTTACTCCATGTCCAAATAAACCTAGGTATAATATCACCGTCTAAATAAATCTAGGNATTTACTCCAGGTATAAATAAACCTAGATATAATATTTACTCAAGGTATAAATAAACCTAGATATTTTATTCACTCGAGGTAAAAATAAACCATGGTATAATATTTATTAAGGTCTAAATATAAACTTAAATAAAGTCTTTCACCTATGCGTACGTCAGATTGAAAGTTTTACTACGCAGAGCGCACACCGCGTATACCAAATTGTTTTCAAGACTGATTAACAGTTAACCCAGTCAATACTGTTTATGAAGCTGACCGTTCTAGCTTGCTTAAGATACGCAGCAACTTAAAACTGTAGAGTGCGTAGTTCTGAATAAGTGGAGGGGGAACTGGCGCACTGTGGATTGGAAGGAAGGGGGGGGTGAGTGTCTTCCCCCCCCCTAACACCACTACCAAACCATCAAAAATTATTATTCAAAATTATTTCAAACTGCACAACGAACACATATTGTAGAATATATATAAAGATCGTGAATTATAAATTAATTTTACTAAATGTTTAGATCAACATAAAAGTTAACTAGAGGAACAAAAATTTGAGAGAAAAACAAGAAAATAAGGTTTCAAAAAAACATAGCTTAAAAGGTTTTTTTAAGAGCGTGAAAAGGAGGCGGCTTAAGGGGGAAAACGAGTGACGCCCCCTCCCTGGAAAAAATTTTAAAAACAGATTTAGAACATTATCTTCGATGATAATTATTCCAATATATTAAAAATCCCTTTTTAAAACATTAACTAACCTTAATTTACAGAAATTAATTTAAGTTTAAAAAATCTTCATGCTTTCTGTTTGAAGAGTAAGCTTAACTAAACTACTGTACAAGCGTACGCACATTTGATTGTACAGTGTACTGTACCAGCGTACATAGAAAAACATGTACAAATGAAACAGTAGCATGAAATACAAGAAAAGGGCCGAGCAGCGGGTAGTAAATAATGAGGAACAGCAATAAACTTGTTAATAATAGTTGTATAGTGTTTTTTAGGGAATGTTCATTCATTCCTGGGGCGGCTCATTTATTGTCAGGGGAGAGGGGGGGGGGGCAGATAATTTCATCCCCATGGAAGTTTACACAAGTAATTTGGTAGTTTTTATGTCTGCAGTGCTGGGGGGAAATGTGTTAATAGATTTGTGGCACTTTTTGCATACGTCAGCGCGAAAAAAAAATGTTGTGCCCCCCCTTAAAAACCCCTTTTTTGAAAAAATATTGATATCTTTTTTAACTATGTAAACTATTCGATCATATGCATTTTCTAAGACACTTCCTCTTAATACTGTGGCGTAAGCTTCAATGGGTGAAAAATAGAGATGGAAACGTTTCTTAAAAGTATCATATTTTCAAAGAAACAATACATATTGTATAATTATAAATAATGACATCAAATCTATATTTACACTGAAGGCAGTATTGATTAAAGTTTTTTTTTAATGAAACTTTTTTAGTTAAGGGCAAAAGTGATATTTTAAAGTATTTTATATATGGGGGCTCCCCCTCGTACGCCCCTGTTCAAAATCATAACTTAAGTTTAGGATTTGGTCTAGGATTGGATTTGGTCTAGGATTTAGTCTAGGATTTAGTCTAGGATTTAATCTAGGATTTAGTCTAGGATTTAAGTCTAGGATTTAGTCTAGGATTTAGTCTAGGATTTAGTCTGGGATTTAGTCTAGGATTTAGTCTGGGATTTAGTCTAGGATTTAGTCTAGGAATTAAGTCTAGGATTTAGTCTAGGATTTAGTCTAGGATTTAGTCTGGGATTTAGTCTAGGATTTAGTCTGGGATTTAGTCTAGGATTTGGTCTAGGATTTGATCTAGGATTTAATCTAGGATTTAGTCTAGGATTTAGTCTAGGGATTAAGTCTAGGATTTAGTCTAGGATTTAATCTAGGATTTAGTCTAGGAATTTAGTCTAGGATTTAGTCTAGGATTTGATCTAGAATTTAGTCTAGGATTTAGTCTAGTGATTAAGTCTAGAATTTAGTCTAGGGTTTAATGTAGGATTTAATCTAGGATTTATTCTAGGATTTAGTCTAGGGATTAAGTCTAGGATTTAGTCTAGGATTTAATCTAGGATTTAGTTTAGGATTTAATCTAGGATTTAGTCTAGGATTTAGCCTAGGATTTTATCTAGGATTTAGTCTAGGATTTAATCTAGGATTTAATCTAGGATTTAGTCTGGGATTTATTCTAGGGATTTAACTTTTAGGAAAAACGACCTTGATCGTTTTGTTAACGATGAAAAAAACGAAACGTCTGTTCTAGAACAACGAACAATTAAAATCTGAACAAAATCTGAACAAAATTCTCAGGTAATTTGGACAGTACAAAAAGGCCGACCACGTTTTGGAAATGTCAGGACTAGGGAAATTTTGTTATTATTGTTTCAAGAAGCATGCAAATAATAATGGGTTGACGAATGGATGCCGCAAATTATATCATAGATTAAAGACGACCTTCAAGTCATCTTTCTACTTGTATGTGTCTTGGGACACCCTGTATGAAACCCTTAACATGAAAGAAAATAGGTTTTTCTTTCAAGGACGAGGTTTTTATTTTTTAATAATTTTGTTCATGAAACTTAAATACACATAAAAGAGGACTTTAAGATGTACATTTTTGATATTATACAGGGTGTTACATGACAGTTGGTGAATAGTTTTGATATTATACAGGGTGTCACATGACAGTTGGTGAATAGTTTTGATATTATACAGAGTGTCACATGACAGTTGGTGAATAGTTTTGAATGTCGTCTACCTGCAGATACTGTATTACATATTAAAGACTTATCGTAGTTTATTTCGCTAAAAAAAATCTTTTATTCAAATTTGATTACTTTAAAATAAAATGTTACTATAATATGACTGCCATATAATATTCTTTATCATTCTGTTTGGTATAAAATAGCTTAATAAATTAAGGATGAAGAAAACTATTTACCAATTTTCATGTTTCGTGGGACACCCTGTAAATATATCTTTGAAGTGATCCTTCTTTTATGGAGTGACACTTAAAATGTCGTTTACAGTCCCTGGAGTCCCTGGAGTCCTTGGAGTCCCTGGATTCCCTGAATTCCCTGGAGTCCTTGGAGCCCTTGAAGTCCCTGGAGTCCCCGGAATCCTTGGAGTCCCTGGAATCCTTGGAGTCCCTGGAGTCCCTGGAGACCTTGGAGTCCCGGTAGTTCCAGGAGTCCCGGGAGTTCCAGGATTCCCACTAGTCCCTGGAGTTTCTGGAGTCCGTAGAGTCCCTGGAGTTTCTGGAGTCCCTGGAGTTTCTGGATTCTCACGAGTTCCTGGAGTCCCTGGAGTCCTTGGAGTCCCACGAGTCCCTGGAGTCCCTGGTGTCCCTGTGAACTAAAATGACTAAAAAGGAACTAATTATAAATACTTGTTTATTTGAGTACAAAAATATTTATATCACACAAGGATAATTTTCAAGTAAAGAGGGTAGACTCAATATAGGTTGAATATCACTGATTGAATATCACTGATTGAATAGCAGTTTTAAATTGGGTGTTTACATCGATTTCTCAGCTGCAGTACACTGACGATCTAACCACTTTTTCACAGATTTCTCATTCCTAAATAAATAAATATTTTATCTACAACTTTTTTCTTTTGTATCCTTTCGAATATCTTTATATTCTTGTATCCTTGTATTCTTATCCTTGTATACATGTATCCGTGTATCCTTGTATCCTTGTATCCTTGTATCCTTGAATCCTTGTATCCTTGCATCCTTGTATCCTTGTATCCTTTTATCCTTGTATCCTTGTATCCTTGTATCCTTGTATCCTTGTATCCTTGTATTCTTGTATCCTTGTATCCTTGTATCCTTGTATCCATATATACTTGTATACTAGTATACTTGTATCCTTGTATCCTTGTATCCTTGAATCCTTGTATCCTTGTATTCTTGTATTCTAGTATCCTTGTCTCCTTGTACCCTTCTATTCTTGTATCCGTGTATCCTTTCTTGTATAATTGTATGCTTGTATCGGTTTAATGTTTGTATTCCTTTTGTATGCATAAGGTTACTTTAGACAAAAGTGAATCTGAAACCAACCAATATATATTGTATACACTCATATTCTACAGGATTATACACAGTCTACACAGAAAGGTACAGACTAAACACTAAAGACTAATAATTCTTGTTTTCCAGGCTACTTTGTTCGTTTCGTCTTTTTAAACAGTAAATAACTGGAATACTGAAGGGTATCTGGAGCTAGAATGAAACCTAAACTAACCTAATGTCTTCATTGAATACTGAAGAGTATCTGAAGCTAGAATGAACCCTAAACTAACCTGATATCTCCCTGGAATACTGAAGGGAACCCGGAGCTAAAGTGAACCAATGCTGGAAGAGTCTCCAAGGAGTAATCCTTGTCTATCCCAACATCTGAGATCTTGAGAAACACAACACCCTTCTTATCCAACCCATCATCAAGCTCCTCCAGTCCCTTGAGCAACCTCTGAGCAAATATATCCTCGTCCTCGTAGAAGAAAACAAACATGCTGTCGGCGACCTTGACCCTCTTCGCCAACATGACCTCGTTGACCTCCTCGATCCTCTCCGGTATGTCCAAAGTCTCGTAGGAGGTCAACCAACGGAGCACACTAATCTCCTGGGTTAGATCTCCGTCAAACTTGACAAATTCTCCGTTCTTGAAGAGTCCCAAGGCAGGAAACCTTTTAATCTTGTTCTCCCTGGCTACCTCCAGCTCCAGGGTTGCTACAAACACGATCCCATGATCGTCCAGGATATGATCAATCTTCTCCAATTTTTCCCGGATTAAATCGCACTCGTCCTCATCGTCATCTGCACAGAGTCCACTAGAAAAATAGCAATAATTAAAAATGAATTTTTAGGAAAGACGACATTCATAAAAACCGTTAAAATCTTTGGCGGAGAATTAAATATTTTACTATGATTTTATTAATAAAAAATAATATGGGAGATTGGGAGGGGGAGGGATGTTCCTCTGCTTGATGAGCCAGGCCAGGACACCGGCCTCGTCAGCGAGACTGTCCGGGTACAGGTTTGGAATTCCGTCCTCGTAATAGACGAGGACAGGACTGTCCTCCATTCCTAGCTTGGCAGTCTCCTTCTCATCTCCAACCTATAAAACGTAACCTTCATATTAATAGAATCAGAGGTCTTTCTCTTTCAGACAAATTAACATTGGAAAAATGTATATTTGGAAAAATGTGCAAGTGGGAATCAGCCTCAAATAAGCAGGATAAAAGGATTTCGTCAGGATTTTCCTGCGCTTTCCCTGTTTTCAAAACATATTTTATATTTGACGTAACTTCAAAATTGTTTTCTTTTTATTTTCTTTTTTAAAAAACCCAAAAAGCTAAGATTTGAATTCGACAGATAACCAAAAGAACACCCATATTGTTTTTTCATGAGTACAATCAAGTTTTGCTATTACAAGATCCTTCTAAAACAACTTCTCTAATAGTAAATGGTCTCGTCACTAGTGGGTAATCTATTTATCCACAAATAAGAGGACAGTTTCCTAAAAGATTCATTATGTATAAAAAGCAGAAGAAAAAATTCAAATAATAATGATGAACAGCTACTTTACAGGGAAGTTCAGGGAATTTTACTTTACTGTTATACCAAGAGTTCTCGTGTAAGAAAAGACAATAATTTTTCTAAAAAGTTGTCGTAGACTTTTTATCGTCTTGGGAGATGAAAGTACCGCAAATTTTTTTCATGTAAACTTCTCAGTGCGGGATGTTATAACATTTAATTGTCTCAAAGGACAGTTAAAAAACTTTCGTACCGCAGTTTAGGGAAAAATAGGTAAATTAGCTTTTAGTTTTTAAAATAAAAAGTAAAATGTTTACCTTTACAAAATTTATATCGTGTAGCTTACAATCGTCATCTAAAATATAAACTTTAATAATATTTGTTCCAAAATTTTTGCATGAGTCATCGTTACATTCAGTAAAACTTTAATGGACCTAATCAAAATTTAAACATTTTTGAGAATTCAAACTTTTGTCCTAAATTGCTAATCTATATAATAAAACAAGACATTCATATATATGTATATGTTGTGTATAGCCGGCCAAACGGCTGGACCGATTGGGCTAATTTTTTTTCCACGGGCAACGCTGGGCCCTTCAACTAGTTATGAATCAGTACGATTCAAAACATGCTTTTCAGAAAACAGTTTTTGGATTTTGGTATAAAAAAATAATTAGGGATAAAATAATTACAACTTTCAGAATCCTGACCAACTTTTTATAGTTAAAAAAGAAAGTTAAAAAAGACGACCATCGTAACATGGATTTGAGATTTAAATGTTTTGGAGAATTTTAAAAAGTTTATTCTAAATTGCCCATCAATAAACTGTCTTTGATCTGAGAGAGGGCTTCAAAAATTTACATTTTTTGCACATTAAAAGTAAAAAAAATTATCAAAAAAAGTTAAATACAAATTATTAAATTATTGATTTTTTTTCTAAAAAAAGACATAAAAAATATGAAAAAGTACAAAATTTGGCAAATTTAATTTTTACCGATATTCTCCATCTTGGCGAGAATACTGCTGTCCCTCTTCCCACCCTTGGTGTAGTACAGGACAGCCAGGAAGTCGGAGCTCTCCTTCAAGTACTCAAGCACTGACGGACCTACCTATAATGAAAACAATAATTACAATGATGATAATTACAATACATAATGATACAAATAATAATGATAAGAACCATAGATTAATAACAACACAGATATAACACAAGATGTCGTATTTTCAAGATTTATTTGTGAACGAAAAACCCTGAAACAATAACAATAACAATAACCCTGAGGCAGAGGCCCAAACGAGTTACGCGCATGCGACGTAGAAGAGGCTCTCTCTTTGTTTTGTAATTCAACGCAGCATGCGCGTAACTCCTTCTGGCTTCTGCCTCATGGTAATTGTGAAAAAAAAACTAAATCTTGACAGACGACATCTGGTGTTCTATCTGTGTTGTTATTAATCTATAGTAACAACAATAACTTTAACAACATCAACAACAACTGTAATAGTAATAGCAACAATAAAAATAATTACAGTAAGAAGAATAATTTTAAGAACAACAACAATAACTGCAATAAGAATAATAATGATAAAAACAATAATAACAACAATAACAACTGTAATAACAATAACAACAACAAAATAATTTTAGTAACAATAACAATAATAAAAATGATATTAACATATATACTAACTTTCTCAGTCTCCCCCTAACCCTGCTAGCAACAACACATCTCTGTGACTCTCTCTCTCCTAGCCTGATACCAGCTGACCCAGCTAGCTGTTGCTATGGCGGGGAGTTTAAAACATAAACAATGATAATTACACAAAAACTCTTGGAGTTATATAGGGAAGGAGTGGATCTAGGACTGGATATCAAGCTTAACCTGTGGACTAAAGATGGTAATGGATGACGAGGGAGTCAGCTGCGAAATATTGCACTGGCATTCAAAGTCTAATCTGTGTCTATCATATGAATCATTTATATAGAAAATAAATAATGTAGTTTTTCCATTTATGAAAGTTGTAAACTTGTAATACAATTGTAATATCTTAATCTCTGCTACAAAATAAATATTTAGATCTAAAAAAACTTGAACAATAATAACGATTACAGCAATAACTATAATAACTATAATAACAAGAACAACAATAGCTAGAAATAGTAACCACAACAATAATAACACTAATAATATTACAACAATAATACCAATAAAAATGTCAACAATGTCAACAACAACAACAAAATAATATTAAATATAACAACAACAATAATAACATTTATAACAACAAGAATCACAATAATAGGAACAATAATAACAATAAGACCACCAAAAATAACAACAAAACAACAACAATATTGAAAACAATAAGAACAAGTCTGAGCTCACTTTCCTTTGAATACGAACGCACAGCTACAATAACAACAACAATAATAAGAATATCTATAAACGTACAACAACAACAATAACAACAGCAAAAAATATAAAGAATCCACTAACAATTTAATTTCTATTTCCATGTATAATTTTCTGTTGAAGAAAAACAAGTAATGATTAAGAATGTGACTGAACTACCTCTTCAATATCCTGGTTACTAAGCTCAGCACTGATCCAGGCCAAGGTTTCATCATCGTTCTTTAAATCTCCGGGATACACCTCGGGTACTCCGTTCTCGAAGAACACTAGAGCAGGAACCTGTATCCAGGAATAGGAAACTTTTAATTTTTCAATTCAATAATTTCCGAATAATTGTGGATTGTTTTTTATTTTTTAATATTAAGTTATTGAGTTTAGTTTCTCCAAAACTTCTAAAAGACGATGGTTAACTTAAGTTATGTCTTTAAATAGTCCAATGAACATGATATACAGCAATTGTGCAGTGTAAATAGACCTATTTTACTTAATAAGAAATACTAATACTAAAAAGATTTGCTTTGTAACAAATAAGCCTAACTATTGCTATGTCGTCTTCCTGTTCAACAGCTTGCTGGTTATGACTGTATTAAGTCCATGAATCTTTCAAATAAAATACCTGAGTTAACCCATAATATCGCTGAACATTAGGTTCAGAGCACTTAACAAACTCCACCTCCTCCTCCTCCAGATTATCATCAATGGTCTCCAGCTCCTGGAGAATATCCTCAGAGTCTTTGTCCTCTGCGTCGTAGAAGAAGACAAGGACATCGTCCTCGAGGTTGATGATGTTGTTGAGCATGTCTCCGTTGACCTCTTCTATGACTCCAGGTATCTCTAGAGTCTCTATGTCGGAGAGCCAGTTTAAGATTGATACTTCGCTTGATACATCTCCTGTGAAAACCTGGAAATCTCCGTTCCGGAACAATCCTATGCTCGGGAGCTTCGTAATCCCTAGTCTCCGGGCATACTTGACATCCTTGGTGGTCACCATGAATATCCCCAGATCATCAATATTATCATCAATATTCTCAAGCTGCTCCAGGATAGTGTCTCTGTTGGTTTCACAGGTCTCATCTCCGTCCTTGCAGTAGGGTTGAAAGTACGCCACAACATATTCAAATTTATCCACCATATCCTCAAGTATCTCTTCTGTAACAAGTTCTATGTTGTCTCCAGATTTTCTATCCTCCAACCAACCCAGAACTTCCTCCGCGTTTCCGATATCTCCGACAAACATACTCGGAACCTCGTCCTTCCAGTAGAGCAGGGCAGGTAGAGAATCCAATCCGAACTCATCTTTAGCCTTGACAACATCATCAAGTTTAACCAGAGGAATTCCGTAGTTATCACAATCATCATCAATAGTCTCCAGAATAGCGATCACATCCATATCCTCTGTATCCTCAGCATCATAGAATACTGCGGCTAGGTTGGATAACCTGGATACAAGACTGTCCAACACGTCCCCGTTTACGTCTTCAATCTCGACCATGTCAATGCTCTCCTCGACAAAGGTCATAAACTCTTTTTCATCTCCGAGATCTCCCTTGAACACCTTGGGTATATTACTCTTGAAGTGGACCAGCAGGGGCATTCCGTACAATCCGTAATCTTTCTCAATTCCCTTTGAGGAGATAGAAACCATCTTAATATCCTTTTCGTTTAGCCACTTGTCCAGGTCGTCCATGGTGTAGAGGATGGCCTCGTCCAGCCTGTGTCCGTCTCTGTACATGAATACTATCAGATCCGTTTCCTCTTCCAGGAGCGCTGAGAGCATTTCCTCATTAACAGATTCAATCTTTCCAGGAATCTCGAGGGTTTCCCGTGCTGTCATCCATTCAAGTACTTCAAACTCATCCAGGATATCCCCACGGAACTTGACAAAATCTCCGTTCCTAAACAGCCCAAGGGACGGGAAGAACTTAATATCGTACTCCCTGGCTAGGTTTTTGTCCTCTGTGGAGACGAGCATGATGCCGTATTCCTGCAGGTTAGTGTCAATGTTCTCCAGGTTCTCCAGCATCTCGTAGCAAACGTCTCCAGGTTCACATTTACCAGTGAAAATTACAGAAATGTATTCTTCTTCGTCGATCAGCCTTTCTAGTATCTAAACACAGAAACTGAGAACTCGCTTCAAACTCTAATTTTCTAATCCTCGTAATCTTTGCAACTTGATATATTGGACCTTAGATTTTTCAAACTGTGATTTCTGCGACATTAAATCAAGTTTAAAATAGCACATGAAATAGCAATGGAATAGCAGTGGAATAGCAATGGAATAGCAATGGAATAGCAATGGAATAGCAATGGAATAGCAATGGAATAGCAATGAAATAGCAATGGAATAGCAATGGAATAGTAATAGAATAGCAATGGAATACCAATGGAATAGCAATGGAATAGCAATGGAATAGCAATGGAATAGCAATGGAATAGCAATGGAATAGCAATGGAATAGCAATGGAATAGCAATGGAATATCAATGGAATAGTAATAGAATAGCAATGGAATAGCAATGGAATATCAATGGAATAGCAATGGAATAGCAATGGAATAGCAATGGAATATCAATGGAATAGTAATGGAATAGCAATGGAATAGCAATGGAATAGCAATTGAATAGCAATGGAATAACAATGAAATAGCAACGGAATAGCAATGGAATAGCAATGGAATAACAATGGAAGGTTGAAAAGTTATAGAACATAGAATATTTGAGAATTTGGAGAGTGTTCAGTGCATAGGATTTTTGGATATTTTTTTTTCTTAAAGAGAACAATCTTATTTATGCTATCCCAGGGACAGAACTTTTTGAATTTGAACTGGCTACCGCCAATTTAAATTTGAATCACCGATTCAAATCCTTCCTTGATCTTTAACTTTGAATTGTTTGTTCAAATTTGAACCGGCAGTAGGTAGTTCACCGTCTTAGCTCAAATTCATTAAGTTCGGTCCCATGATAGGCTAGGTTAATTTAGAGGGAGGTTGTCCTTTTTCAGGAAGGGGGCTGGGGGTCCACGGCACATATAATAAGAAATCACCAACCTTGTCTGTAACTTGCTCAATAGTATCTGTCGTCTTCTGTTCAATCAACCATTCAAGAACCAGTTCTTCCTGCATCAAGTCCCCGTCATACATCGAGGGGATCTTGTTCTCGAAGTACATGAGGGCTGGGAGGACGTTGATCCCGTACTCCTCAGCCTTCTCGTTATCCTCCACGGAGACAAAGTCGATGTCGTATTTGCTGCACTCGCCATCGATCCTCTCCAGCTCCTCCAGCAACAATTCGTCTAAATAATATCTTGAGGTTAGGGGTTTTAGGTGTTAGAACATTTCACTGAAAGAAATCTTATAGATAGACATTTCATATGATAACAAAATCATATATAGGACACTTTGCAGATAGGACATATAATAGACAAACCATTTCATAGAAGAAAAATTTATAGATAGGACATTTCATAGATAGAAGATTTTAAAGATTGGAATTTTCATATTCAGGACATTTCATTAACAAAGTAGATTTCTCAGCTAAAAGACGTAAAGCTTTTTTAGCAACAATTTAAGGTTCTTGGTTAAAAAAATGTGTAATAATTTTAGAAAATGTGATAAGTTAATTTAAATAAATTGCATAAAAACATATTGTTTTCCAATGTGTGTGTCTCAACTTTGAAAAACAGGATAAATTATCAGTTTAAAGCGAAAATATAAATACTAAGCAAAGATGACGGACGTATAACGTTTATAGGAAATATGTTACGTTTCCGATTAAGCCGGATATAAAATGAAAACCCATGTCTCGACATGGTTTAGGTTTAAGGTTGTTAATCGTTTTTGAGAACGATTGTTAAACGATAGCTATTTGTTTCGGTTTTCAACCGTTTTGAACTTTTAGAAAACAAATAACGATCGTTTCTGGAAACGATCTTTTTTATAAAAACGATTTGCGACCGTTTTTATACTTTTTTAAAATGATCGCTCTTGAAAAAACGATAGTTTTTGAAAAACAAACTTTTATTGACAATTATGTTAACGATCGTTAAACGAAGGGCCGTCGTTAACGATCGTTAACGAAACGACGAGTTTTATAAAAACGATCGTTTTTCAGAATGATCATTTTAAACGAACTTTCATAACGAAATGATCGTTTTTAAAATAAATGACAACGTTAACATCCCTTGTTATACTTATTATACTCGTATAGCTGTAAACATCCCTTGTTATACTTATTATACTCGTATAGCTGTAAAGTTTGCAAGTTTGCAATTTCTACTTTGTGATTAATAATCCAGCAGACATTGGTAAATATCATAAAATATGATCATTAACCTACAATATAATAATAATAATAATAATATAATATTTTCGAAATTGCATAAAACGAAATCATCAGTCGTCTTTTCTCATGTACGTCGCTAATGCTGTGTTCCTTATTTCTAAAATTGGAGGATTGTAAACATGTTTTAGCTCTTGCTTTCGTAATCAAAGAAGGAAAAGTTGTTATGAAAAGTTGTTATGAAAAGTTGTTATGAAAAGTTGTTATGAAAAGTTGTTATGAAAAGTTGAAAAGTTGTTATGAAAAGTTGTTATGAAAAGTTGCTATGAAAAGTTGTTATGAAAAGTTGCTATGATTAGTTGTAATGAAAAGAGACTTAAAACGCATTTTTTAGTAATCATAGTTGAATAACATATTTAAATTTCTCCAGCTGAAAATTTAAAATGTCGTTTTTCTTTAACTGTGAACTGTGTATTTATAAAGCAGAAACAATGAAGGACATTGTCAGAAGTCTACACGTAGAAAAACAACGACATCTTCCTCATTTTTATTCAGATAAAGTGTTAAAGTATAAAGTACAGTTATGAGTCAGACATGAAATTCTTTTAAATGAATGATTTGTAGATTTAAGTTAGACATTTTTTTATGCAATTTCAAATCCATAAAAAGTTATTTGAGAGGGGGGCATGAATTGAAGAGTTCAATTTGAAAATTAGAAAAGTTATATATGTTTAATTTCTGCACCTTGCATTGAAATAAAGATGCGCCAAGCGCCAATAAAGTTGAGGTTGCAAAACTAAAATAATCATTTTAAACCGATAGGTTTTTACACAATATTCTAGTTTCCCGACATTCTATTTCCGAAGACTATATAGAGAATGCAAGGCCGACTGCAAAGTTTGTAGACTTTAATAAATATTTAATATTGTTTGGATTTTCTGTAGAACATCGTCCTTGAACCATGATATTCATATTTCTATATACATAAAGAACTAATCTCTGGTTGGGTGTTTGTCCGATCATAACTTATGAACACCCTTGTTCAATTTTCCTCAAATTTTGATTGGGGGACCCGGAATTAATATGGAAATGTTCTTATATATGTATATACAAGCTAAAGGAAATCCAGCTTTGAAACTAAATCTTTCCCATAAAAATTTTCCTTCTCAACTTTGTACTTATATTTCAGTTTTTAAACTTAACTTTTTTTTAAAAAGAATAATACTAAACACAAACCGTTTGTTAGTACGATCAGAACTTATGAACCCATTTGACCGATTTTCTTCAAATATTGATTAGGAAACTCGGTTGAACCACGGAAGCGTTCTTTACTTGACTTGAAAAATTCCAAGTTGAGATTGCGGGCTTTTATGAGAAAAATTCAATTTACAGGCAAAGCTGGGTTTCAAAGCTAGTATATATCTACATATTAAGTATATTCATATGTCTGATTATATCTAACTTTTTGAGCACTTGACTAAGAAATTGAGTTTTTGCCACAAACTCAAATATTCAAACCCCTATATCGTTGAAACCTGATGTTGTAAACCTTTGATATTTCAAGCTCAGAATATTTTATCTAACAGAATTCATAGTTTGAAATATCTAGGGTCTACAACATTTGGTTTCAAAGATATAGTGATTAGAAAATCAGAGTTTGTGGCAAAGACTCAATTCCTCAACTTTTGGTTAGAGAACTTGGAAGAACCACAGGAATGTTTAAAGCTTCGTTTTAAAAATTCTAATTTGAGTAGGTTGACTAGTCTAGTTTTCAGGCAAAGCAAGGACATTTTTATAATTTCCACCCTACTCGACCAACAGTTAATCAAATTCTAAATTACCTTCAAACTAAAGCGAGTGTTCGTATTTTTCAATGAATTATTAATAATATTTTCGTTTGAAGCATAATTTTATTTTTATTTATAATATAAAAGATGTCATGACCACTGTATGGCATATGCTTTAATTAAGCCATAAGCCTGTAAGCTAAAGCATGTAAGCAGCGAGGGAGGGAGGGGGGGGGGGGTGCTTGTAGCACATCATCCAAAGGGGTTAACGAGACAATTTTTTAAAAACAATTGATTCATTTAAAGAAAATATTAATTGAGATTTTTTAAATAAAATAATAATTTGATTGTTTTAAGAGTGAATCAAATGAATCAAATTTTCTTCAAAAAATGTCTCTTTTTATCCTACTTGAATATATTCTTGGGTTAACGTTGGTTAACATGGAAACCTTAATAACATCCAGGCCTCGATCTACTAAACCCACTAAACATTGTCAAAATATTCTCAACATCTTTTAAAAATTTTTATTGAATTTTGTAACTTTTCTTAAAAAATGAAAGGGAGGAATTTAGCTTTGGCAGAAAATTACTTATTCGGAAGGTTTTTTCTAACAATTCTACTCTTTGGCTGGTTTTGAATAACCAAGCATTTAAATCTAGATCCAGCAAAAGTTTGAAGCGGCGAGACTGAGAACTATCAAAGTATACATTTATTCCAGACTAATTTTAGCTTTAAAATTTTCAATAATAAAATTTTTAATAATCAGGTTGCAAAGAAGGTTAGGAAGCTAGAGTTTGAGGCAAGTTTCAGCTTCAAAACGCCCCTTAAAAATCTTAAAAGTTAGGCAATTCTAAATTCTAATGTTCTAAATTTTTTTTTTTCGTCTTTAAAGTACAAATTGTTTACTCTGAATAAAAGCTGAGTTTGTGGCAAAGACTCAATTCCTTTAAAATCAACCAAATTAGGGAATTAAATGTATTTGTTCTGATCAACTGCTGTATTATATGTTTATTGGGTTATCTAAAATTATAACTTCAATTTCCACAATTTTATGGATTTCACTGTAAAACAGCATACTTGTAGACAAGCATGGACTAAGCTAGACTCGTAGATTTAAATGGAACCACCTGAATACCAAACATTAAGAACGGACCTAATGATACCCTACACTATAGAAGTAGGCTTAGGTTAGGTTGGATATCTCAAGAACGGATCCAATGATACAATGATACCTGGAGTGGGTTTGGTTAGGTTGGATATCTCAAGAACGGATCCAATGATACACTGCACCTGGAGTGGGTTAGGTTAGGTTGGATATCTCAAGAACGGAGTAGGTTAGGTTAGGTTAGGTTAGATTGGATATCTCACCTTGATCTGTAGTTTCATCCAGGAAAACTGCGGCAAGATTGTGATTTCTTTCTGTAAACCAACATCAAAATCAAGATTACTGTTAAAAAATATTATTACTTTTTAAACGGAGTGTTCGCGAAAAATTGTCTGTCTTCCTTTTGGCATTTTGCAATTTTAAACACGTTTTATAGCAATATCGAATAGAAATAATAAAAAGTATTATTATCGATTATTCTATATAATAAACAAAACATTCGTATATATATATATATATATATATGTTGCGTATAGCCGGCCAAACGGCTGGACTAATTGGGCTGAAATTTTTTGTGGACACTCATTAGTAGCCGGGGGGTGTCTTAGGCTGAAAAAATCCAAAAAAAATTTTTTTTAGTTTTTAAAAAGTATTTTTTTTTTCAAATATTTTTTTTCCAAGGCAGGGCAGGGCTCATCAGCTTGTTATTATTGTTATTGTTTAGGTTTCTCAACCCAAACTTTTAAAAATAATTTCTATTTTCCAAATCTTCCGATTCTTTAAAGATAAAATTCAAAACTGATGAAAAGAATGTATTTTCTGATTTATGTTGGTCCCTATCAGTTTATCCAGCATAGCAACAGTCACGTGTTTTATCTCCTCCTAAAAAAACTGATGATGAGGTTCGGAGCAAGGATGCTTTTGGGCGCAACTATTAGAAGTGAGGGGGGGGGGGAGCGCGAAGGGCCGGATCTAAACGTCGGAAAATCTCACGCAAAAATCTATAAGAATTTCGCAATTTACTTCTAAAATTTTTTATCAGAAACAAGTGATTTATAGTTATAAAATGTACATATCTAGGACTACAAAAAATAATAATGAGTTAGTAAGGTCCGAGGGGTTTTCGAAATTTCGAACCTATATTAAGAAGTGATCTTTTTAGCATCCTAGATATCCTAGTTTTTCCATATGATAATTAAAAATTTTCCCATGTGTTTTCTTTCTAAAAATGAGTTGTGGATTTGTGCTGCATATACAATATTGAGGGTTCACTTGAAATTACGTGCACACTCCTTTTAAAATATTAACCTCAGAATGGACCAAAAATGTTTTCAGAAGATCAACTTCTAATTCTACATCTATCCCTGTTTGAACTTTTAATTATTGAATTTAAATATATGTACTTTGAAGAGTAATATTTTTGAAGGAATTTTCCGTGTTTTTATCATAAAATATGTCATAAATATTTATATAAAACCCAGCTCTGCGCCCTGCATGAATGATTTCGAGGAATTGTATTGACTAGACGGATTGGTGCAAAAAGGTCAATGTTTTTAGATATTAAAAATACTTTTCATCAAAAATTTTTGTCGATGTCAAGATATTCACTCATATTCACTTCAATGAAACTAAATGATTTTGCTAAAAACTCTATTTTTCTAATCCTTTTATCTTTGTAACCTAATTTTGTAGACCTTGGATATATCAAACTTTGAATTTTGCAAGATCAAACAATCAAAGTTTACACCTTCAGCTTTGATTGGGATTAAAAAGTTAGATGTACAATGTAATTGATAAATGTACAACTTGATTGATAAAATGTACAACTTAATTGATAAAATGTACAATATAATTGATAAAATGTACAGTATAATTGATAAAATGTACAATATAATTGATAAAATGTAACAGTATAATTGATAAATGTACAGTATAATTGATAAAATATACAATATAATATGTACAGTATAATTGATAAAATGTACAGTATAATTGGTAAAATGTACAGTATAATTGATAAAATGTACAGTATAATTGATAAAATATTTACCTGTTTTAGTTCATCAAGAATCCATTTCATGACCTGATTATCATTTCTCAAATCTCCTGAATAAAATTCTTTTTTATCTCGAGCTAATTACGTTAATAGGACTGTAAGCGTGACTTCAAGTGACCCAACATGCAAAGATGGCAATGTCCGATTCACAATTGTATCCTTGAAATCTCAATTTAATCAAAAATGTGGATTTAACGTCGTTTTTCTGACTCGAAAAGTGTTAAATTCTGATAATTTCTCCATTTTTTCTTTTAGGAAAGAAATAGAAATGCGCAAGTAGCTTTTACTACTAAACTTTATAAAAACAAAAACATGGATTTCTATTCATACTTGATCAGACAACACTTTTCAGGCTAAAGTTGCAAATCGGCCACTGTCATCTTTGCATGAAGGTCACTTGAAATTACGCATACAGTCTCTTTATGTCTTGATTCATCGTACTACTCATACATACCCACAAAAGACGAGACTTCATAATTGACTGCACAACATTTATTTAATTTTTTTCCTCAAACATATGGTTTCTGGCAAATGTAAACTTTTTTTTCTTTTCTATAAATGCCCATAGATCTTGTTGTGAATACAGACAAAAGTTTTGAATCATTGTTAATAAAAAAACATTTACTTTAAAGGGAGTTATTGCGAAAAATGAAACAGATACTAAGAGGATCGAACTTCAATGATGTCCTTATAAACGCCAGTTTCCAATATACTCTTTATTTTTCGCGAACACTTCCTTTAATTTTAATTCGAACCTTCGAATAGCTCCGGTACTCCGTTCTCGAAATATACCAGGCAAGGAATATCGAGGAGACCGAACTCCTCCCCTGCTCCTTTGTCTGAGATCTTCACAAGGTGGAGATCTCGTTTATCCAGCTTCTCATCAATATCTGGAATAATATATTTTATATATGTAGAGTTGTTTCTCAATATCTGGAATATCTTATATATATATATATGTAGCTAGTTGCTAAGCTTTTTGGGTCGTTTTCAACAGTATTCTGTCAAAGTCGAGCAAAAAATGTTCGTTTTTTGGTTCGTTTTCGCATTAATTTAAAACTTTCAAGATTTCACACTGTTTTTTTTATTAAACTTTGCAATTTATTTATCCTAAACAATGGAAAAACAAAAACGTACGTTACAACATTTCTGTTTTGAAATTAGGCATTTGATCTATTCCCATTTTACTATATATAATATGTACATTTCCAATTGCTACGCGCACGAACGTATGTATGCCTGGATCCTGAGTATAGCTTCAATAAGGCTTAAACCAACCATGGACGCTGATGTAAACGTACTTTGATTTCTTTCTTAATAGATGACATTCGTGTAAGTAAAAAAAATGAATACAGAAAGGATATAAGGAAAGAATAAAAAGATAGAATTTGTCCAACTGATGTAAGTAAATTTCTAAAAATAATAAAAAGATAATAGTTTATTTCAAAATATATATTGAATATAGATTATCCTTAACAAATGTATGTATATATGATAATTTCGTAAATATTGTTTTTTTTCAGATGAACCTCATGATTAAGAAAATTAAGACGAAATAAAAAGAAGAATAAATATTTATTATGAATAATTCTAAATCATCAAATTTAAATGAAGAAAAATCCTATTCCTTCACAATTTCCCTTTAGTGTTGGAGATAATTTAAATATATTTGCACTTCTTATACTTTGCCAAATTTGCCCCTGAAGCTAAATATAGCCAGTAGACTGAAGGCACATCAATGATTGCAATTAATATCGATTAATAATTAAAAAATAGATTAATATGAAATTGCACAAAATCATTTTTAAATTTGCCGCCAAAATCTACCTTCGAGCTCTGCCAGGACAGAGTGCGCATCAGGATCGTTTTCCGCATAGAAAAATACAAAACAGTCGTCTTCCTCTTCAAGGATATTGTTCAGCATTTTCAGGTTCACCTTCAGAATAATTTTCAAGTGATTTTTATAAAAATCTAACTGAAACTAAAAAGTCTGCATCTCACCCTTATCTCAACATAAAAAAGACGTTCATAATTTATGTCGTTATTTGACACCCAAGGTTTTAAAAAGCACACTTTATTGCATTTAAGGATTTAAACCTCTGTTTTACAAATCAATAGCTCTTAAGAAAAACAGTGTTGTAATAAAGTGAACAGCAGAACAAGGAAGAAAATGGCAAAAATCTAATCAAGAATTGTGCAGATTTTCCTAATTTTTACCTCATCAATAATTCCAATAATCTTGAGTGTATTCTCACAAGTCAACCAATCCTTGAGCTGTTTTTCAGTTGCAGCTTGGACATCACCTTCGTATTGAAGGAACATACCATTTCTAGACAAATATTAATTCATAAAAGCTAAATTTGACTACTTTTTTTAGACATACCTAAAAATGCCTAGAGCAGGGAGCTCAATGAGTCCATTTTCTCTTGAAACTTCCTTATCTTCAGTTGTAACAAGTAAAATTCCAATCTCATCAAGTTCATCGTCAACAGTCTCTAAGTTAGCTAAAACACCGTCACAGTCATCATTCTCATCATCACATGATCCCCGGAAGAATACAGCAACATATTCATGATCCTCAATCAGTTCCTGAAGGATCTCATCAGTGACCTCTTCTACTACGGAGGAAGCTTGATTCTTAGAGATCCAGTCAAACACATCTCCACTGTCTGATAGATCTCCAGTGTATATGGAGGGAACCTTGAAATTGAAAAACATGAGTGAAGGGATAGTTTTCAGTCCATATTTTCCAGCCTCCTCCTTATCATCAATCCGCACTATTGCAATATCACTTTCAGCACAGTCATCTGCAATGGACTTCAAGGTGTTGACAACCGACATGTTCTTCTGGGAGAAGAAGAGAACAGAGATGTGATCAAACTTGTTTATTAAACCATCCAAAACCACATCTGAGACCTGATGAATACTATTGGTTGATGCTTGTTTTGCCACCCATGTCAAGATTTGGGTTTCATCCTCTAGATCGATCTCACAAATGATTGGTATTCCATTCTGGAAATAAACAATTTTGGGGAGACCAATAATTCCATAGTTTAGTTCTATCCCTTCATCTGATGTCTTAACCATGGCAAATCCTTTCTTTTCCAGGTCATCATCTATCTTTTCAAATCCCTCAATGATTTCATCAGCATCTCTGTCTCCTTCTTCATAAAAGAAAACAATGAGATCTTCCTCGTTTTCATAGAGATACGCCAGAAGAAGCTCATTCACCTCTTCCATAACACCAGTTATTTTTAGGTTTCCTCCATCATTAAGCCAAGCAATGACCTCATCATCATCTTCAATATTTCCAGAAAATATCAAAGGATCACCATTCCTAAAGAGCACTATTGCTGGAAGTTCTGATAGCTGATGCTTTAGCAGTGGAAAGTCTTGGTCTTCAGTCTGAACGAATGCAATTCCACGTTGGTCCATATCATCATCAACATTTTCCAGATAATCAAGGATTTCCTCACACTTTCCCTCTTCTCCTTCACATGAGCCAGTATAAAGAACAATAAGGTACTCCTCCTCTTCAATTAGCTCCTCCAGGATTTGCCTGGTTACTACTTCAATAACAGATTCTTCCTTCTTGTCTATTAACCACTTCATAACTTCAGGTTTGCTATCCAGGTTTCCTCTGTATACATTGGGAATTTCATTTGTAAAGTGAATAAGAGAAGGTAGGTTTAATCCCAATTCTTCAGCATATTCAGGATCATCAATTAGAATAATTGTTAGTTCTTCCTCTTCGATAGTATACATGTCTTTCTCAAGCTCTTTGATAATATCATGACCATCAACATCTTCATCATTAATAAAGAAAAGTCCCACATGTTCTCTTTTTTTGATCAACATCTCAGAAACAGCTCTACTGACAAGTTTGATCTTGTTGGTGTTGATCTCCATAGATATCCAGTTCAGTACTTCTGCCTCATTGACTTCAGCGCCAGGGAACATCTCAGGAATACCATTTTCAAAATAGACCAATCGTGGGAGGTATCCAATGCCAAAGTTATCATCAACCCCTTCATCAGAGCATTTGACCAGGATGACTTTATCATTTTCAAGATTATCATCAATTCCTTCAAGTTCATTAATAATTTTACTTGCTCTTCTGTCACCTTCCTCATAGAGGAAAGCAAAGACATCCTTTTCTTTTTCAATCATCATTTCTAAAAGAGGTATTCCAACCTCCTCAATCTTACCCTCAATTTTCAGATTATCCAAATCAGTCAACCATCTTAAAACTGCCATTGAATTATCAACTTTACCATCATAGGTTACAAGATCTCCATTTCTGAAGAGTCCAATTGTTGGGAATGTTTTTATTTTATGAACCTTGGCATATTGTGGCTCGTCAATTTTAACTAGAAGAATGTCAATCTTATCCAGCTCATTATCAATCTCTTCCAGATTCTCTATCAGCTCATCGCAGGCCTCCTTCTGCTCCTCAACACATTCTGACAAGAAGATGACTGCAACATACTCTTCCTCCTTGATCAACCGGTCAAGTAGAACTGCGTTTACCTCCTCAATACTGCTTGAAGTCTTCTGTTCCTCCAGCCAGTTCAGAATTGCTCTCGGAGACTGAGCACCCTCATATATACTAGGGATTCCATCTTCAAAGTGAATCACAGCTGGTAGAGCATACAAGCCGTAGTGCTTGGCTATGGCTGGGTCGTCAAGCTTAACCATAAAAATCTCCAACTTTTCAGCATCATCATCAACTGTGTCTATTTGGTCAATGAACTTTTTCTGTTTCTTTTTCTTTCCATCATAGAAAATTGCAACAATATCGTCAGATGTATCAATGAGTTTTTCCAAAGTATCTTCATCAACAGTTCTGATGGATTGATTCTCAAGCTCTTCAAGAATCCAGGAAAGTATGTCCTCGCCATCGTTGAGATTTCCATCATATTCAATCGGAATCTTGTTTTCAAAGTACACTAAGGTTGGAAGTTTGTCTAATGCATACTCTTTTTCAATATCTTCATCAGAGCATTTTACAAACTCTATATCTTTAGCATCCAGTTCATCATCAATAGTTTCAAGAACCTTCATTATTCCAGACAGAGATTTTGTGTCTTCATCTTCATAGAAAAAACAGAGGACATCTTTCTCATCTGAGAGAATTCTAGAGAGCATCTTCTCCCCAACCTCTTCTATAACTCCAGGTATTTCTAGAGTATCTTCGTCTAGCATCCAAGAAAATGCTGCATTAGCATCATGAAGGCTGCCTTCATACAAGAGAAAAAGGCCATTTCTGAAGAGTCCAAGTGCAGGAAATGATCTGATTTTAAGCTCTGATCCTGCGTATTTGATGTCCTCTGTGGTGACAAAGACAATCCCAAATTCATCAACTTCATCATCAATAGTTTCCAGCTCTTCCAGGATCTCTTCACACTCAGTATTCCTTGCAGCTTCATCACATGGTCCTGTAAACACCACTGCTACATATTCCGTATTATCTACAATAGTTTGCAATATCTCTTCAGTCACCTCCTCAATGGTGTCAGCAGTCCTCTGCTCCATAATCCAATCAAGAACTAGATCAGTTTCATCAAGATCAGATTCAAATATAGCCGGGACCCTGTTCTCATAATATACAAGTCCTGGAAGATTGTCCAACCCCAAACTTCTGGGTCCATCCCCTCCGATAATCTGCACTACAGGAACATCAAGGTTCTTACAAAGTGCATGGATATCATGTATCCCATCAACTCCATGATTTTCTGCAGCGCTGAAGATTACGATTATAGAGTTTCCAGTGTCTGTAATCTTCTTGAGCATCTGTAAACCAATAACTTCGATCTCATCAGCATTAACTTCTTCGGTCAACCATTCAAGAACATCGCCAGAGTTCTTCATATCACCATCGTATTCTTCAGGAATTCCATCTTGCAGAAATATTAGTTTCGGCAAACTAAGATTTAACAATTATTTTCAAAAGTTTCTACAGTGGGACACATAAAACTATGAGAATAGGAAGACGACTGTCTTGATTTTGAATAGTCCAATTAACACAGAAATTTTACAGACCTATTTTACATAAAAAGTTGGTTTTTATGCTCCTGGTAAAAATGTTGCTTTATAACAACATAAAATACAAGGACAATTAATGATTAATATTTTGAGTCCCACTGTGTGAAATTTGAAGATTTTATTTAGGTTTGTTAGAATAATTTTAGAATTGTTTTCCTGTCAGTATCTACTCCGAAATCTTCTGCAACCTTGTTATCGTTCATCCTGAAATAAACTTGGTTTACCAACTACTTTTAATCTTGTTCATATTTCTGATCCTAGCTGCATAAAGTGTATATTTAATATATGTATCCCTAAATCTCTGTGGAAAAGTTTTTCTTTAAAAATAATATATAATTAATAATAATTCTTTTTTCATACCTAGATATAATCTTTTTAACTATTCCTATTATTCTGTCCTTGATTTTTGCATTTTATTAGCAATATCAATGTATTATGAGGTTTTATCAACGTTCTATAAGTTTTATCCAAGTTGTATGAGATTCTATCAAAGTTTTAAGAGATTCTTTAGAAGTTAGTTGATTCTATCAAAGTTTTATAGGTTTTATCAAAGAATTATGAGATTCTCTAAAAGGTTTATGAGATCCTATCAAAGCTTTATGCGATTATCAAAGTTTAATGAGATGCTGTCTTAAGTTTTATGATTCTGTTAAAGTGTTAATAGATAACAAGATATTTTTCAGGTTCGCTAACAGTCTTAAGAGATTTTATCAACGTTTTATGAGGATTTTTCAAAGTTGTATGAGTTTTTTTATAATTCTCTCGACAAATTCTAAATTTAAGAGATACACAAAGTTTAACGAGATTCAATTGAATAAAGATTCTTTCATATCGATGTAAATTTAGATTCGATTAAAGTTTTCGCTAGATCGAACAGACCTATTGGATTTTATCTAATAGAGAATGTTCTGAAGATTATTTAAAATAAATGTCCAACCTGACAATTTCAATATCGAGAGACTCTGAGTCCATCTGTTCCATTTCCAATATATACTTCTTAGTCAACCTATCCAGGGAGCTGTAGAATAGCACTGCAACATGCTCATGCTCATCCAGAGCCTGTTGCAGACCTTCCTCATCAACATCTTCAATGACAGTCTTGGGAGTCTTCGCAACTGGAGGTTTGACCTTCCCCAGCTTTATTCCTTCCTTCTTTGGTCCAGGTTCTTCCTCCGTAGAGACTGCAGTTAGCAGGAGTAAACTCACAAAACTAATCAACCTCATCTTGTTTTAGTATCTCAGACATTCATCCTGGACACAAAATAATCTAATACCCGGGTAGAATCTTAGAGTCTGAAACCTAGTCTTAGACGCCGGGCCGACATCATCAGACCCTATGTTTTTGGAAAAAAATATCAAATTTCACCAAATATATGTAATATGAGCAAAAACCATTAAAATATTTGAGCATTCCTCTCCCCATCCCTTTCTTCAAGCA